TTCTACGGAAAATATTTGGGAAAAAGAATCTATCGAAATTCCTCTTCCAGGTCGAGCATGTCATGTTTTGATGGCTCTTCTGTCCTGTCAACTTGACTCCCTGCTGTGCACGTGCTGTGAAATGTCAGGGCTGACAATAAAGTCTTTCTGACACTTGACTGTTAAACCTAAATTTTTTTTAAGGCTTTTATTGGGGAATTGGGGGAGGGGAACAGCGCTGGGGAATCAGGGGAAGGGGAACAGATAATTTGCTGTCCTTTTGTTCTTCAGTCTAGTTGTGGAGGACGTTGCTTCACTGGCCCATGTTGGTATTATCATTGTGCTCTTCCCGGGTGAGGCAGATCAGTCACCAGGGCCCTGGACGGCTGCTCACGGCAGTTCTTGGCAGCTCACTCCGGCTGCCGGCCACAAACGGTAGCCCATGGCAACCCACTGCAGCAGGGGCTGCAGCCTATGCCATCGCTGGCGACTCACGGCAGCCCAGCTCCAGGTCGAGCTGTTGTTCAGCATCTTAGCTGTAGACGGCAGTGTCACTGGCCCCATGTGGGATCTCAACCAGGGCCCTGCTGCTCAGAGCTGGCGTCCCAAGCCAGCTCTTAACCAACGCGCCACTCGGCCGGCCCAACCTACATTTTTCTTAGGCTTTTCTCACAACAGTACAATGTTTTTTCCTACTTCTCTCCATAGCTGCAGTCACATGTAAAATCCCAACCCTTTCCCTAAACTCCCACTCACAGTGTTTCTTAGATCTCTTTGTAGACCTTATCTTTTGCACCATTCAATGGCTTCTAAAGTTTTGGTGACTCTAATTTAAACTTTGTTGCTATTTAATTCAAGTGCTTATGACTCCACAATTAAATGGTAACTTCCTTAAGCATCTGGAACCATGCGTTGTGTGTCGATGTATATTCCTACCTAAAAAAGCATAAACACAGTGCATTGCTCATTCATTCATTCATTCAATGATATGCACTGAGAATCTCCCACATGCCAGGCACTGTTCTAAGGTCATCAGCACTTTAGTAGAACTTTTATTGTATTGGGGGGGGATAGATAAATGAGTCTTCAAGTAAGTGCATCATGTAATATTAGATAAGAATAAGTGGCACAAAGCAATAAGGGCATGTGACAGAGTGATTGAGAAGAGTTACGTTAGCTTGGAAAGGCCCCTCCCAGGAGGGAATATTTAAGCTGAAATCTGAATAACAGGAAATAACCACTCACGCAAAAAGGATGTCAAAATGAAGAGTGTTCTAGATCAGAGGAAAGAGCCAGGGCCCAAGCTGGAGGCAGGTTGATTTGCTGAGTTAGAGGCATAGCCAGGAGGCCAATGTGGCTAGAGCATGCACAGTAAGTCAGGGGAATCGTTATGGTCTCAACTTGGAGCGGTGGGTGTGGGCCAGGCTGCGGTAAGCAGTTTGGACTTCAGTTTAGGTGATAAGGAAGCGAGGGAGTGCTGTAGACATGGGGATGACCTAGGTATGTTTCATAACATTAAAGACTATTCTGACTGCAGGGTAAGAATAAAATATAGCGAGTTACAGAAGGAATCAAAGGGCCATTTATAGTTTGTTTTAGTAGTCAAAGCAAGACATGATGGTGACTTAGACAGGAGTGGCGGCAGGAGAACAAAGGAAGTGGACAGATTCTGGATGTACTTTGGCAAAAGAGACATCGGGACTTATTGGCTTGAGCAAAATGGTGGGTGGTGCTGTTTCCTAGATGGGGATACCTAGGAGAGAAATGGCCCTGGAAGGAAGGGTGGGGAAGGGGATCAAAAATCCATTTGACTGTATTAAGTTTGAGAGGTCTATAAGATATCCAGGAATGTGCATCAATTTTACCTGATTCTGAAGCTCATGGGAAGGGCAGGGCTAATTACATACATTTGGGAGTCACTGGAACAAATATAGTGTTTTAAATCATGGGACGACATAAGATCATCTAGGGAGAGAATGTAACCCCAAGGCATCTCAAAATTTGAAAGTGATACAGGAGAGAGAGAGAGAGAGAGAGAGAGAGAGAGAGAGAGAGAGAGAGAGAGAGAGAGAGAGAGAGAGAGAAACCAAAATGGTAGGCAGAAACCCAGGAGAATGTGGTGCCGAGAAGTCTAAGAGAATAAAATGCAGCTGCAATGAGGGAGTAGTCAGATGAGCCAAATGCCAAAGATCTAGATGAGGGCAGCAGAGGAAACATCATGCTTGTCCACATGGAGGCGATAAGGGCAGGTTCAGGGGAGTAGTGATGACTGAAGACAGGGTCGAAGGAAGAAAGAGAGGTAAGGATTGATAAACATTCAATATAGGCAAACTCTTCAAAAAGTTTAGCTGTGAAAAAAATGTTTTGTTCTGAAGGAGAGCAGAGAAGTGGGGCAGTAGTTAGAAGGGACATGAAGTCAAGAGAGGGCTTCCCCAATCCCCACCCCAACATGGGGGAGCCTGAAGTTTGTCTATATAGAGTCAGAAAGAAAGATTAATGATGTAGAAAAGAGAGGGTCTAATAGAATACATAAATCTTTGTTTAATTACTGTAGATTTTTAAATGTATTCGATTCACATTAGACTGAATAGAAAGTTGTTTTCCAACATAGGAGTTGTGATTGTAACAATCTCCAGGAAATAAAACTGGATGATAATAACAATAACAATATTAACTTTACTTATATTTAGTGCTTATTATGTGCCAGGCATTGTTTTATGTGCTTTATATGCATTCTGTATTCCTGTAAATAACAATAATTGTCCCCATGCTATGCTTAATGAGGAAACTGAGGTACAGAGAAGTCAGGTAACTTGTCTAGTGTCATTTAGGTAGTAAGTGACAAAACCAGGATTCACACTCCTGTTTCTGAGTAATCCAATTCTGAAGTCTAAACTACCAAAATAAACTGTAAAAAGTTTCAATCTGTTGGCATTTCCTCAGTTCATGACATATTTTATGATTCAACTCCCCTCAGTTATCTCTTTTTTCCTCAAGGGTATAAGGTTTTAAAAAGAATGAAAGAGAATTACTTTCAATCCTTTCTGTAGTTGGGGCAATCTTTTTTTTTTAATTAAAGTTTATTGGGGTGACAATGGTTAGTAAAGCTATATAGGTTTAAATTGTACAATTCCGTAATACATCATCTATATATCACATTGTATGTTCACCACCCAGTCAGTTCTCCTTCCCTCACCATATACTTGATCCTGTTAGTTGGGCAACCTTATGAGATGGTCAAACCAATCAGATGTGGGCAGCAATTCTATCAAACCTGTTCCTTTTAGAATTATTTATAATCAGATACTTAAATATAATTAAAATCCAATTTTTGACAGTATAGTTTCTTCCACAAAAGTATTCCTTCTAGATATACATTTGATATACATTTATATATTATTTTAATGGCAATATGGTATAGTCAATTGTTGGGTTATACCACAGCTTACTAAACCTTTCAAATATGTGTGTGTGTATGTGCACGTGCATGTGTTTATGTATTTATATAAAAAGTCCATGTTCTTTGCAAAAAAATCAGAAAATACAGCTTAGCAAAAAGAATTCCACACATTCTTTTTAAATAAATATTACTGAATGTCTAATTTATGTCATGTAACCATTACAAATCATACTTTCAAATGCCACTTAAAAGCATGAGGAAAATGCAAATGAAAAATTGCAAGATACAAACTACATAGAAAGTGTGTGAAAAAATTAGTAAAAAACAAATCACACATATACACACATGAGAAAGAAAGTGAGAGAGAAATGTAAGTAGTAGTTATTATTCCTGGGTTGTGAGATATTAAGGATGATTTTTATTTTCTTCTCTGTGCCTTTTTTCCTTATTTTTTTCTAATGAACATAAATTACCTTAATAGCTGGAAAATGTTACTTTAAAAATTAAATATTTCTGCATATTATGCTAAGGGTACTTGCATTACCTGACATCTGAATTGAAGGTAAACTGAAATCAATTAAGTACTAAGGCATAGGGAATATGAGGACATTTTTATTATTTTAATTACTCAAAAATAATGCTCCAAATTAATCCACTGCCAGGAATATGGCAACATGGCCCAGGAAGGTGTATGTGTGTGTGTGTGTGTGTGTGTGTGTGTGTGTGTGTGTGTGTGTTGTGGGGCACTACGTAGTTACCCATACTATTATTGGATTGTTGGAAAAGTCATGATGCATTTTTGCAACGAAAAACAAAAAATACGTCATGACTTTTTCAACAACCCAATAATTAGTATATATTTAACAAATGATGAACAATTAACATGGATTTTTACTTCTTGCCACTGTATTGACTTAGCAGAGAGATTCAGGAGACATTTTCAAGGAAAACAAATTCCCTAAAGTATAGGTGGAAAATTCAGATACTTTCCTCTGTCCCTTTGTTCAGGCTATCCTTTAAGATGCCTCTTTTCTTTTAAACATTTTATTATGAAAAATTGCAAATGTACTAAAAATATGTATATTTTGCACACTCAAAAATGTGTAAAATAAACCCATGTTCCCATCACTCAGCTTCGATTATTATCAACCTCTTAAAGGACTTTCTTTCCCATTGCTTAGCTTGCATTAGTAGGAAATAATATTTATGAATAGGAAAACTCTGTAGAAAACCTTTAAAAAGTTAAACAAAAAAGAAATGTTTTTTTTAAAATCTCACTGCACAGAACTGCACTAAGACTTGAAGATGTCCCCCACTGGTTTCTGAGGCTGCTGAAGCAGTTACCAACTTTCTCATTCACTTTGCCCTTCTTTGTCAATAGCTATTCAAATGCATTATTACGCTTGGAAAATGGAAGAACTAAAATAAAGAAAGCAGTAAACTAGGAACTATGAAGCTATAGGACAAAACGGGGAAATAGTGAGCACTCACCCAGGGAAGCGTGGCCAAGAAGACAGCTCAGAACAAAATGGCAACAGGCTGGGAAGGCCATTCTCATTTATAGACATCATGGAGGCAGAGCTAGTGGAGCACTATTAAACTGTCACCTGGTTGTACCTACCAAAACTGTTGTCACTGCTTGTGGGCCAGGAAGCAATTCTATCCCTCAGCTTCTTCTTTTTACAGGAGTTGTCTGACTTCTCAAAAAGGCCTCCTTCCTCCTTCCTAATTTCTCGAACCAGCTGCATGCGACACCTTGTAAAATCCTGAAAGGAAATCTTCCCATTTTCATCTGCGCCCAGCTGGTTCATGATCTCAGCCACAGACTCTTCCATATTCAACTGACGACAAACCATCAGCAAGTCATTTCTACAGAAGGGGTTGAACAGAAGAAAACTTGTTAGGAGAGACATTTGAGCTAGAGAAAGTGGTTACCAAAAAAAAAAAAAGTATTTTTTTACTATATCCACACATTGTAAACCTATTTCCAACTTTCTCATTGCTTCTAGAAACGTGATAAGTGTGCAAAAATATCTGTTTCATCTGAGATATTCTAGACAAGAACTGGATTATTATTTGGAAGAGTGAGGCAACTTTAAGTCCTTTGTTCTCTTTTTTCTTCCTGTCTCCACGCCCTTCTCTCCTTTTCTTTCTTTTGAAATTGATGAAGCACCTGTAGAGTGTAGCACTGTAATCTCACTGTAAGATAAAGTTTCAGGACATAGAAAAGACATTGTTTCTACTCTTGGCGGAGTTTAAAATTTAGTCAAGTTGTAAAAGAACAAGAAAGATTTTAACAACCTTGGTTTTCAGCTTTCTGGACCAATAAGCTACTTTTAGCACCCCTTTAAAATGTTATTGAATCGCGGCTTTCATGACTCAGTGCTCACCAACCTCTATTTTTTCCTGATTTCTTTTGAATATTTTCCATGTTCAGCAAGATGAATAAGCCTATGACTTAGAACAGAGATCATATCCCAAATGTCTTGCAAGACTGGGACATAATGTAAATGTGTGAAGTGGGTAGAGCTAAGACGAGAGGGATTGACGAAGTCTGTGGCTGGACTAAAGAAGTATATCCAGCCTATAGGTTCTCAAAAAAAATAATAAATAAAATAAAATAAAAAAGGAAAAACAAGAACAACAACACTACCCTGGCCAAGAACATATATCTGGAGGACGTCATTTGACCCCCGACATATAAGTCTTAGGAGTTTTTTTCTCTCTCTCTCTCTCTCTTAACTTCTTGGGGAAACATTTTGTTCCTATTGTTCCTACTATAATTCTCAATAAAGGTCAAAGTATTATGAAGTTAAGACCTGGAAGAGGTATGAGAAAGTAGTCCATGGTCACTAGCAAAGTTAATTAGTGCTCCTGTCTCAACACACCACCAAAGTCCAATCATCTTGAGAACGTGACCAGTTTGACATCTGCTGATACCTGAAACCTAACCATGCAAAATAAGACCAGCTCCTCTCTTCCAGTTGCCCTTCACAAATTCCTTCTTTTGGTCAATGCCACTATGACTTCCCCAAGTTCCTTATGCTCACAGAATTGTGGACATTTTTAATATCTTCACATTCACTCTATCTTAACCCTAACGCCCCCACCCTGGTCTCCAGTGTCCGATTTGTCATCAAATTTCTGTTAGACCTATCCAGGAAATGCTTTTATATTTACTCTTTATTGTGTTTTTCTTGTTTCTTTTTTTTAAATTGGGGAACTGGGGGAGGGGAACAGTGTTAGGGAATTGGGGAAGGAGACCAGCCAAGTTGTTCTTCAATCTTAGTTGTGGAGGGCACCAGTCGCCATCTGTCTGCCAATTGGCAGCTCGTGGCCTCTAAGCTCAAGGTGCTGTGTTACAATCTTAGGTGTGGGTGGGCGTAGCCACCATCCCATGCAGGAGTCGAACCAGCAGCCTTGTTGTTAAGAGTGCACACTTAATCCACTGAGCCATCTGGGTGGCAGCTCAGCTCAAGTTGCCGAGTTCAGTCTTAGTGGCAGGTGGGCATAGCCACCATCTTATGCGGGAGTTGAACCAGCAACCTTGTTGTTAGGAGTATGTGCTCTCACCAGCTGAGCCATTCTGCCACCTGTTGGCAGCTCAGCGGCAGCTCAGCTCGGGCGCAGCGTCACTGGCCCATGTGGGAATTGAACTGGTGGCCCTGTTGCTCAGGGCTCGCACACTTAAGCTAACTCTTAACCAACTGAGCCACTCGGCCAGCCCTTTATTGTGTTTTTCAATACACATAACACTCTCCCAGACCTTCTTAATATATACCTGGCCTGTGACACTCGCTTCTTTAGCTGATCACCCTGCTTCCATATGCCATCCCATTTTCATGTCTCATGAAGAATTTTTAGACATAGCTACATGTTTTATTTAGCTTGTATGTATGTCTGTATACATATGTATATTACATATATGCCTATGGAATATATTTATATTTTTTATTTGTAAGGTAGATGAATAGGTGGATGAATAAATAAATATACAATGGAAGTGGATATGGTAGATGAAATAATTACCCCTAATTTTTCATTCCCCTGCAATAGTGTTATACATCCATACCTTGTCTTGGCCTGAGGCCCAGGACACGACACTCATGGTAGGAGTGTCCTGCTCATCCCTTAGCTTCAGGCTTGACATCTAACTTGCTCTGGCCCCTGGGATGTTAGCAGATATGTGTTGGGCTTGCCCCCTTCCACTTTTGCCATTATTATGAGAAGAACAAACCATGCTAGCTATTAACCCACAAGCCTGGGCCCTGCAATGAGCCACCTTAGCCAACCTGTAGATCTGTCACCTAAGAAGAGCTACTCCAAGTGTTTTTAGATAATAGTTGTAAAAATTAGGCTTGGTGGGAGATAGTGAGGTTTTCTAAATTTCAGAAGTTTACATAAAAAGATGCCAACACTAATATTTTCTAAATGGTAGGAATATGGTGTTTACACTCTTATTTTTGCCTATCTGTATTTTGTAACTTTCTACAACATACAATACTACTTTCATAAAGTGCTATGTCATTTTTTAGGTTTTGAAAATGAGGATAATAATGGCACTGGTCTTATCTCACAGGGTTCTCCTGAGGATACACGACATAATGCATGTAAAGCACTTAACCTAGTTCCTGGCACATATTAAGTGCTCAATAAATAGTAGGCATTATGATTATTTTATAATTATTGATCATAGATCTTTCACAACGCCCTAGTTTCATGATTAAGTCTTTAGTACACAGCATGAACTGCTCAGGAAAAGAATGTTTATTTAACTGACTACCTCACTAAGCTGGCCCTTCCTCCCTGTTGGCGGTCCACTTAGGAACATGGGGCACCCTGGTGAGAAACCCAAGTCTCTCCAGATTTGTGAAGTCCCATTCTACAAAAAGCAGCTTAAGTAAAGGGTTTGTGTTCTAGAAGTGCCAACTCAGAGGAGACTGTAACAGTGCATTTTTATTTAAAAAGTATAAGCCATCGAGAGGCTGATATAAAAGGTCAAAAACAAAACACATTGTACTCTACTAAATAAAGTCTATTTAAATCAATCTTTAAATAGAAGTGCTAATTTCTAAAAACTAAATGAAAGTTAAATTCTTTCAGCAATAACAACTAACTAGCAATAACAACTAACAAACTTGCAGGGGAAGTACTATTATCCCCATCTTACAGATTAAGATATGAAGGTTAACAGTCACAGCACGAGTTTGTGGCAGCTCTAAGAAACTACATTGAATCAGTGTGATTCCAAAACTCTTACCCTTTGCATTCTACCATCCACCACCTCGCATGTGAATGACAGACCTAAATTTTGGCCTGTGAACACAAGTTAGGACAGCCTAATATGAGCAGCTTGATTATCAAGGGTCATTAGTTAACAATACTTTTTAATTTAATTTAATTTTTTTAAATACACGTGAAATAATAGGTTATATTTTGTTATCAACATGATGAGAAAACAAAGTTAAAGAGAGAAAAAAAATTCCAAAGGTTCTGCTTTACATATCAAGAGCTAAGCCTAGAGAACTTGGGTTACAGAGTTTTATTATAAGCCACTGTGCCAGGTTGTTTAAAATGGCTCTCAGTGGATTAGACTCCCCTGTGACCACACCATTAGCAATGTGTCTTTGCTATTCCTCCCATCAACAGGTATAGGCTACTTGCTGCCCTTGAATCTGAGCTGGCCTTGTGACTTCCTTTGACCAATGGAATATGGCAGAAATAACATTCTAGAATTTTTGAACACAGATCTTAAGATGACTTGTAGCTTCCACTTTCATCTCAAACTCTTCCAACTCCATGCTGTCCTTGTAGCCCACTCAGGCCCACAAGTGGTCTCTTCCTTCCGATAGCATTTAGCATCTGCATCCTTCATTCACTGACTATACACAGCTTTGTGACAACTTGTGGATTATATACTGAACTTCTTTTTCTCTCTCTCTCTTTTTAAAATTATTTTTACACATTCAAATTTCATCTTCCCAACCTGACCCCAAACTCCTGTAAACCAGTGTGGGCCATCCATCAGTCTCCCTTAAGATCTGTGCAGCACCCAGCCCACTGCCCTGTACACTGCAGAGCTCCATCACATTTGGTTTGATAGATTGATTCATAACCTCTTAGAAGTTCAAAATGATCACTCTTCTGAAGGAAGTCTCCACTTTGATATTTTCCCACATATACCTCTCTTTGTATTTTATCACAGAAGGCAGCACATGGATGTCTGTAAGAACAAATGACCGATAGACACCATAAAAACAACAACCCTGTAGCCTTAGTGACAGAGCAGCATGGCAGTTCCTCTGTCCTAGGCCAGGAACATTCTCAGAGGAAGAGATACTAAGCTGTAGTTGTCCAAAACTAAGATTCTATAACACAGAACTATTTCAGTAGCAATAACATCATCACATAAGGCACCTGCCTTAAAAAAAAACCAAATTTTTGTATATTATTTCAGAAAATATATTCACTCATTGTAAAAAATGTAGATAAGCAAAAGAAGAAAATACGAATTACATGCAATCCCTCTATCCAGCAATAACCACAGTGAACAATTTGGTTAATTTCATAAAATTTTGGTGAATATTTTTTCCTCAAATTTGTTCTAAATAGATAAATTTCCTCTAAATAATTATTTATCTTTCATCATTATTATAACTGCTCTAAAATGTATTTCATATATATATGAAAATATATATTATATAATATATAATATAATATTATATATATATATATATATATTCTTCAGAAGATATCACCATGAGGCAAGAAAGGAATAGATTCAAGCTCACAGGAGAGGAACTGGCCGAGTCAGGTAATATTTAGTTCTGTAGAGAATACCAATCACCAGGTAGAAAAATTAAAATATG